AAGCCAACCCTCTGGAGTTCCTTTCTAATTGAAGGTGGGCGGGAGGAGAAAATGCTTAATTCTATTTAGCACTTGGGACAATGGGGTAGAAAGTAAAGGAGGGGGGAAGCACTAAGAAGGAGAAACAAGAATTTTTCCTGGGCTAATGGACTAAGACTCAATTTTGTTGAGGGCCGCAATCAAGATTGTATTTGACCTCGGGAGGCTGTGGGGGCTGTGGCCAGCTTGACATCACTCGTGTCAGGGGCTCCTGGGGTGGCCCGAGCACTCTGCCAGTGAAAACGGGTTCCTGAGCTTCATTTTCGGCCTCAATGACCCTCCTGCAACCCTCTGCCAGTGAAAATGGAGCTGGGGGGTGGGGGGCGGGCGTATGTGACAGTCTCCTGCAGCCCCCTGGAGCTCCATTTTTGCTGTCCTGAGCACTTGGCCAGTGAAAATGGCCGAGCTCCGTTTTCAACGGCAACAGCCTCCTTCAAACCTCTGCCAGTGAAAACAAAGCTCAGGAGGCGCGTTCCATTTTCGCTGGCACAGGCACCATGGGCCGGTCCTTTGCTGTTTCCAGGGTGGCTCTGCGGGCCAGATCGAATCACCCCACAGGCCGTGTGATGACCCAAAGGGGGTGGCACAAAGGCAACACAGTCAGATGATTAGTAAGAGTCCCTTGATTAGCTCTAACTTTGTCCCCAATGTTGTGGTTACTTTCTGGCTGGAGAAAAACTCTCCCAGGAACAGAGAATCGAGTCCAAAATGTGGTTAACAAAAACTGTAACTATAAGTCCAATCAAGGCAAAATGAGGTAATTAGTCCAGCAGGGCAAGAGAAGGAATTCCAGACATGAAGGCAAAGCAGTAATTCAACATGGTTGGGAGGACATCAGGAACGTAGATAACCAAAGTCAACACAAGATAAACTCATGTTTGTTCCCAGCAGATGCCGTACTCAGCATGCATCTCTTTTAAACTCTCTTTTCAGGTGTGCCTGATGAAGGGAATCAGGGCCCTTTCCTCCCCCATAAGCCACACAACCCACGTTGCTCTCTTCTCCGTTCTTCCCTGCGTGCCCTAGGATAAAGAGGGGGTGGGCCTGGGTCTTCCTCTGAATTCCCTCTCCCTTGTTCTACCTCTCTCCTGCTCTGCCCAGACAGCCTTTGCCCTTCCCCAGTTTCTTCCACAGCCAACGGAGCCACACTCCCACTCCCTATCAGCTGTTCATCTTCCTCCTAGGATCCAGACTCTGACAGGGGCATGACAGCCTGGATTCAGCCCGCAGGCCTTGAGTTTGACACCCCTGGACTAAGAGGTCATTTAATTCTCTGTGAATTATTTATTTATATCAACAGGAAATATGCATGCAGGTGAGTACATAGCAGGGGTGTTATTCAGCAGGTTCTGACCAGTTCTGGAGAACCAGTAGCAGAAATTTTGAGTAGTTCAGAGACCCGCCAAATACCACTTCTGACTGGAGATTTTACAGTATCCTTCCCCTGCCACGCCCATCAAGCCACACTAAAGAACTGGTAGTAAAAAAAATTGAATCCCACCACTGGTACATAGGTAAGTATGTTTACATGCAACATTCACATCTAAAGTCAGAAAAAACTCTTCTGCTATGTAGCTCTAAGCAATGGAAACCACAGGCAAATATTCACCTTTGGCACTATAAGTAATCCTTGACTTATAACAGTTGTCCATTCAAAGTGACCATTCAAAGTTACAATGTCCTTGAAAAAAGGGACTTATGACTGTTTTTTTTCACACATACGACCATTGCAGCATCCCCACGGTCACCTGATCAAAATCCAGATGCTTGGCAACTGACTCGTATTTATGAGGATTACGCAGGGTCCTGGGGTCACGTGATCCCGTTTTGCGACCTTCTGAAAAGCAAAGTCAATGTGGAAGCCAGATTCCCTTGTCAGTAACTTAGCAACTGCAGGGATTTACTTAACGAATGTGGCCAGGAAGGTTGTAAAAGGGGACAAAACACACTGAGCAAATGTCTCGCTTAGGAACAGAAATGGGAGGCTCAACTGTGGTCGTAAGTCGAGGACGACCTGTTTTTGAAAGAAGCTCTGACTCCTTACCATCAGGTGGGGAGGAATGCATTAAAAAAACCCACACATTTCTTTTCTTTATGAAACCCACGGATAAATTAGTGCTGTGGTTTGATTAAGGGAAGGAGGTAGAGGGAGGGAGGGAAGGAGGGAGGCATTTAAACAGAGCTGCCAATGGAAAACAATGAAGAGGAGAACAAGGGCATAAACCTTTGCATACGTTAATCCATAAGCACAGCTACAGATTTAGAAATAATTGCTATAATTTGCTCAGGAATATAATGCATCTCAATATAACAGACAAGGTAGTAACCAGGTGATAGATTTGCTTCCTCAGTCTGTGGACCAGGTGTTGATTTGCTGATGTATGATTTCAATGTTCCTGGTCTGATTTCTGATGATATTCCATTTTATAGCTTACACGAGCATTTCTTTTGCTTTAAAAAAAACCCAACAATCTTATTTAACCATATGGCAAATTCATGGCTTTCCTTCTGTTTTATGGTCCTTCACAGAGAAGTGTTGGGTGGAATGTGGAATTCTGAAACCATGTTTCTTCCCCCAGCACGCCAATTTTTTTAAAAAAAGCTAAGAGAGATTTATTATTTTTCTGTTTACAACAGGGCTGTCTAACCTGGGCAATTTTAAGACTTTCTCATAGCTGCCTGGTGAATTCTGGGAATTGAAATCCACAAGTTTTGAAGTTGCCAAGGTTGGACATCCCTGGTTTACAATGTGAAATTAATTCTAATCTGTCCCCTAGAATAAGGAAGACAAACAAATGTCTCTTTTTGCAGAGGAAGAAAACTTTTAGGGAATTAATAGAGAATATCTGTAGCTCAGAGTTGAATTGCATTATTTGAAAGGGCCAAAGATCAAGTTCTTAAAAGTAAAAGGAAAGGATATAAAGTTGGTTTATTTGATCAAGGTTAAAATAGTCCTGTTGTTATCTCTGGTAACCCTTAATGGACTTGTTGCTAATCAGGAGTGAATGATAAAGCTTAAAAAAAATATTTATCAAACTTGGCTACTTGAAGATGTCTAGACTTCAATTCCCAGAAAGCCAGCAGGGTCCAGTTGAGGTCTAGATGTTCTGGAACTTGAAGTCCAGATGTTTTCAAGTGGCCAAGGAACAGAAACACTGACTTAAAGAATTAATTTATAGATAAGAGATGTGATATGGGAAGAAGAGATCATTTGTTATATTTTAAGATGGTGATAAATTATTAAAATAGTTTATACTTGTGATGAAGTCATTGTATGATATGTTTCTTTTCTTTTTCATTACTATATTATTATTATTTTTCCTTCTCTACTTTGTCCTTGTTTCCTGCCCTTTGGAACTTTTTCATGTCTTTTTTCTTTTAGTTTCTATTATGTTTATTAAAAATGAGAATCAAATTCTTTAAAAAAAACCCAGCAAGCCAGCCCTTCTTCATCTTCACTTCTTCTGAAGATGATCAGCAACACTTATTCTCAGTGAAATTGAAGCTATCCTTGTAGTGCCACACACTTATAGAAGATATGAATGTCCTATTAATTTAGCCCTTAACTTGGTCTTTCTTGAGTTGTTCCTGTCAGAAAAATATTGGGTTCAGTTCAGTTCAGAGGTGGTATTCAGCAGGTTCTGACCAGTTCTGGAGAACCAGTAGTGGAAACTTTAAGCAGTTCAGAGAACCGGCAAATGCCACCTCTGACTGGCCTTGCCCCCATCTATTCTCTGCCTCCTATTGAGTCCCAGCTGATCGGCTGGGTCTTCTTTTGTTGCCCTGCACAGGAGAACGGAGCTAGAAAGTAGGTTAGTGCAGTGGGAAGGGAAAGGAGATTTTTTAAGTATCCTTCCCCTGCCATGCCCACCAAGCCACACCCACCAAGCCAACCACACCCACCAAGCCACACCCACAGAACTACTAGTAATTTTTTTTTTAATCCTACCACTGGTTCAGTCCTTTTTATTCTTCCCCAAATGTGTTGGGTTAACAGAGCTCTCATGTGCATTTATCTCTTGAAGTTCTCTGCCAAGACATCTTGATGGTTTTCAATGACTTTGACATACTTATGCAATCTGTCTTCTTTTTCTTACTTGCTGTGGAAAGAGTTAGACTTGTTCTTTTTAAGTCTCTTCTTCTATAGCACCTGTCAGGTCTTTTATATTGCCACTATATTTCCTCCTAAAGACGATAATTCAATGGTAGTTGAATTGGAGTTGGTTTCCTTATTTAAAAGCACTTCTATTCCTACAAAACTTCGACACATGCACCAGGTAGGGAAGAGATGGTTGATAACAGATTTTGCCCTTGGGTGAACCAAACAGAGTTTCATTTCTACATAATTTAAAGCAGACCTGGGTAATACCTGGGTAATCCTTTTTTCTACGAAACAAACACTTTCATGCACAATAATTAGGTCAGGCTCATCTGTAGTATACCATGTTCATCCTGGGGTCAAACTTCATAACCTCTACTTCAGGCAAAGCCTGAAAAAAGTTAATTACTTTTTTATGTAGTACTAGAGCAGAAAAAATAATAATAAAAACGATGATTTTTTCCCCCTAGAATAGTGAACATGCCACGAAAGAACTGGACTGACAAGAATCCAATTGACATCAAAAGATGGAGATATGTCAATTACTGCCACATTTTCCCAAAAGTAAGACCCAGTCTTACTTTCTTTTTACCTCCAAAATAAGTGCTAGGCCTTATTTTCGAGGTCTTATAAAAAGACCTTACCTATAAAAAGAAACCTATGTACTTATGACATTTGTTCATTCATCATTAACCAGTAGAAGCCCCTCGTTTCTAAATAAAAGACCTCAAGGTAGAATTGGATGGTCCAGTAAAGAACCCACAACCCATTTTTATTAATAAAGCCCTGAGAACCTCAAACCCTTAACAATTATACAAAGATCATGGAGCCTCCTCATGTTAATTTCATCAGCAAGTCTTACCTTGGACGATAAGATGAACTCGTGATGTTTTGGGATGATTGTCTGTCTGTACCGAGCAGGTATAGGGACCTTCATCGTATATGTCCACATTATGGATCTTGATACTGTATTGAGTTTTGGTGTTTGTGAGAATGACCACTCTGTCATCTATCGACCACTTATCATTTCCAGCATAAAGAATAGTGCTACGGTTTAGCCAAGCTACTCGCGTCACTCGGTCATCCACAGTACACCTAATAAAATAAATAAAGAGAATAAAAAAAGAATTGGTTATTATTGCTTTCGGGAGAGGTGGGGAACAAATCATATTATGAATTCCTGTCCCTGTCCTCTATTATTTTTAAATTGTTTAGCCCAGAGGTGGCATTCAGCAGGTTCTGTCCAGTTCTGGAGAACTGGTAGTGAAAATTTTGAATAGTTTGGAGAACCAGCAAATACCACCTCTGACTGGCCCTGCCCCCATCTATTCTCTGCTTCCCAAGTCCCAGCTGATCGACTGGGTATTCTTTGGTTGCCCTGTACAGGAGACCAGAGCTGGAAAGCAGGTTAGTGGGGTGAGGAGGAAATGGGGACTTTGCAGTATCCTTCCCCTGCCACACCCACCAAGCCACATGACACCCACCAAGCCACACCTACAGAACTGGTAGTAAAAAAAAATGAATCCCACCACTGGTTTAGACAGCCTGTTAAAAGTGTCTACATCCATGCAATTGTTTTTTTTTAAAAAAGTAAAATAAAATTATTGATAAAACAAATCATATGATACATTTTCCCTTTTCTCCTGTTGGGAATAAGTTCAATGTTCTCAGAAATTTCATTTTTCCACTTCTCTTTCAACTTTCCACCCACTACTGCTTTTCTACTTACTTGTATTTTGTATGTTATAATGCTTTATAACTCAATAAAAATGTTAATGGGGAGAACTTGCATTTTTGTTCCTTTTGAATGGAAATTCAAGGGCTTTTGCTTAAAATACTTAAGTACAATAATGCCTTAGAAGAGAGATTGGAAGGGATCTTGTAGGTCATCTAGTCCAACTCAAAAGCCCAAGCGGGAGACCATACACCATTCCTGACAAATGGCAGTCCAATCTCTTCTTGAAAGTCTCAAGTGATGGCGCTCCCACAACTTCCGAGGGCAAACTGTTCCATTGGTTGATTGTTCTCACTGTCAGAAAGTTTCTCCTTATTTCCAGGTTAAATGAATGGGGATCCCGTAATCCCAGGACACTCCCAACCATCCTAAATAAATTCCGGTTGCCACTTGAAATAATGCATCCAGTTATGGTTGCCACACTGTAAAAAAGATGTTGAGACTCTAGAAAGAGCACAGAGAAGAGCAAAGGAGGTGATTAGGGGATCGGAGGCTAAAATATATGACGAACAGTTGCAAAAACTGGGTATGCCTAGTTTAATGAAAAGAAGAATTAGCAGTGATACGATAGCAGAAAAGATAGTGGAAAGGAAGAATGAGAGATGACATGATAGCAATGTTCAAATATCTTAGGGGCCACCACAGAGAAGACAGGGTCAAACCTATTCTCCACAGCAGAACAAAAAGTAATGGATGAAAACTAATCAATGAGAGAATCAGCCTAGAATCAAGGAGAAATTTTCTGATAGAACAATTTGTCAGTGGAACGGCTTTGCTCCAGAAGGTGTGAGTGCCCCATCACTGGAAGTTTTTTAAGAAGAGATTGTTCTAAAATAGTAAAGTTTGTCTATAGTACAGGGTGGGTTGGACTAGAGGACCTTCAAGCTCCCTTTAAACTCTTGTTATTCTGTTAGACCCACTTTTCTCCTTCCGTTCACAAGTATCTTCTACACTCCGCTCCTCTGAGTTCCACAGCAGCTCGCTTTCTACACTTCTTAATCTCGACTTGTGATGTGGCCACCTAAAGTTGTAATATGAGAACCTTCTCTTTGTTCAAATTAACTCCCTGAGAGCTAAGTACAGCCTAGTTAAGTTGAGCCCTGAGGGGATTGCAGTCAGGTAGACTGTTATTCCTCTCTCAGTTCATTATAATGAATAATAAAGAGATACTTACATGAGTTTTTGTTAAATTATTCATTGTATGGACTGGTAAAATCATAACAGTAATCTGTAAAACAGATAACGTCCATGCCTGTAATCATCTAAATATCCAGGCAAAAGATTTTCAAGCAACTCACTGCACCACTCATTAAAGATGAAGTGTGTGTTTTTACTGTTTGATGAGACAGTATTATAGTGATTATTTTCTTTTTTTGCTTTGTGCAGGGGAAAAAGAGGGGGAGGGAGAGAGAACTAATTGTCTGATGTGTAAATTTTGACTTTGCAATAAACCAAAATAACATTTCTCCCTCTTCTGAGCCTGCTTGTTTGATATTAGATTGAGATTCACAAAGCATACTGTTAACGCAGTAATAAGTAAAATAAATTAGTTTCCATTAACCCAATCCCAAATGTACCCCCTACCAAAGGCAAAGAAAAACAAATCATGACCCACAGACTTTTTTTATATTAAAATTTCTTTTCTATATTTGGAAATTTTAGTTAATTGTTTTTAATTAGTGTTTTTTTTTTTAAACACTGAAGAAACTAAGGAAACTCACAGTCATTCTTCTCCAGTCAAAAAATCTCTGGAATTTTGAGACTTGAAGATATATTGGTGAAATATCTTCAGGAATGCATCCTTCTAAAACAAAAGGTATGATCCAGGAATCTAAATCATCTGAATCTATATGACAGGCTATTTTTTTTTCATGATTCATGTACGTCTCCTGATAATTGGCCCCAAAGTCACACAGCCAGTTTTCATGTCTAAGGTGGGACTAGAGCTCACAATGTTTTAGGGATTGGTCCAAGATCACCCAGCCAGCTTTTGTAGCTAAGGTGGGACTAGAATTCACTGTCTCCTAGTGATTGGCCCAAAGTCACCCAACCAGCTTTCATACCTAAGACAGGACTAGAACTCACCATCTCCTGTTGATTGGCCCAAAGTCACCCAGTTGGCTTTCATGCCAAAGCTGGGGATAAGTTTCACAGTGTTCTTGTTTCTAGTTCAGCACCTTAACCATTAGACCAAACTTTAGAGCAAATGCTGTAAGCATCACCTAGACCTTTGGTGGAAATATTAGACAACTACTTTACTTATGTAATCTACAGTAAAAGAATCTGGAAAACCTTTCCATCTTCTACCAAAGTGAATGAAGGCAGGATAGCCTTGATGTTTTTTTTTCCCCCTCACACCTTTGTCTCTTCCCAGGCTAAGTTCATCTTCCTCACATTGACCATAAATTTCCTTTAAGACCATCTCTGTACTCTACATTCCATTTATTCCCATGCATGGTTATATTTCCATTGTTAGCAGTTGAATATCTCACATGACTTTTTATTAGGAACATAGATTTACAACCAATATGTTAACTTCTCGGAAACTGTTTTGTACTTTTCTAACATAAATTGTTATTATTTTTTCCTGCTATGGGCAGCAAGAAAGATGATGAAGAAGATGAAGATGAAGATGAAGATGAAGATGAAGATGAAGATGAAGATGAAGAAGAAGAAGAAGAAGAAGAAGAAGAAGAAGAAGAAGAAGAAGATAATGATGCAACATCGTCAGAAAAATTAAGTGCCAGAAAATGTGATCCTTTTTTCAAAACATTTGTTAATCTCTCTGTCTGTGCTTTAATATAAATATAGGTTTGTAGTTGGAAGCATAACAAGCCTATGTTCCTTGACTTCCACAAAGTGCTATACAAACAATGACAAATCATACAAAACTTGCTTCCAAATTTTTATGACTGTACTTGTGGGTCTCTGAATTGGGATTTCCAAAATTTCCAGGCTGTGAAGCTGGGTGTAATTCTCAAGCTGTTGGTTCCTTTGCGTAACTGAATGTTGTGTGCCATTGTGTTCTGCATTGATTCCCTATCTGAATGGAGCTGTGACCAATTCAAGTCCATGTCTTTTGTACATCCACTGCAGATTTCATCTGATGGCACAGTTAAATAAACCCATTCTGTTTTCCATCAAAACTCCTCCAAGCAGAACCAAATGGAAGAATCAGCCTTGATGACATATAGAGTATCCCAACAATAACTGTTTGTCTACCTGAAGCACAGGTGGGCAATGGAAGAACTTGGTGTATTGATGCCATTTGCATTTAAGTATCCCTTTCTCTGAAGGATTTACTTTTCCAAAATGGGACTTTGCAAATACAAGCCAGGTGCCATGACGCTGAATAATTCTATTGAGTCCCCTGGTTAATTCTTGCTCAGAAACCAGCATTCTGTCTCATTTTATGCAATGCAATGCTTACAGTTTTGCCTTTTTTCCAATGGCCATTTTATGGCAATGTCTCCAATAGCCAACAATGTAGGATGTTGGAGAAGAGCAAGCAGAGCTGAGGGCAGAGTCAAGAGAGGAATCAGCCTAGAGTCCTTACATTCCCACAAATGGCCTAAATCCAACCGCTCTTGAATTCCGTTGACTCTAATTTGATATATTGCATCTTAGTTGGCTAGATTCTTGTGTATGGGCTTGAACATTAAATCTTTTCAATTGCAACTTAGCAGATTCTTTGTGCCTGACAGAACAGAATTCTTTAATTGATTTACATACAGGGAACAACCTTTGACATAGTGGGATCATAACCTAAGCCAGAGGGTTTTCCCTAGAAAGGATCAAATTAAGAATAAAAAAAAAACCCAAACATTTTCCTGGCACTCACTATTCATCTTCAGAGCAATCAGGCTACTATAAAACTATCATGGAGAAGAAAAATAAACTTGTACAATTCCAGGAAGAACGGAAATAGCCACAAAGCCAACTTTGATTCATGGCTTTAGTTCTTACGAAGATAATTAAAAGTACTTTCTTAACAGAATCTGTAAGAATTTGAGTTGCAGGTGGTCCTCATTTTAATGTCTACAACTGAGCCCAGAATTTTGGTCATAAGTCATTGTGGATCAGCATATGATCTGAGTTTATTTTTTTGGACTGCTTTTATACTGGTCATAACGCAAGTCCCTATGGTTGCTAAGCAAATCATGTGGTTAAGGAAACTGTGTGGTCTTTAAGTAAATTCATGTTTATGACTGGGTGGCTTTTTTTTTTTTGTGCAGGAAACTGGCCAAAGAGTTGCAAATCGTGATCACCTGACCAGAGGACACTGCAACTGATCATAAATGCTAGCCCGTTGCCAAGCACCTGAAATGTGATCATGGGGTCCGTGTGTGTGTGTGTGTGT